TTGGGACTTATTTTAGATTTTGTATTTTAGTAAATTGGTTTTATTATGATGTAATCATAAGGATCGGCCAACTATATCCGATGTTTGCGATATATATCCGGTTTTAACTGCAAGGGTATATAAACTTCGGCTCCGCCCGAAGTTAGCTTTCCTTTCTTGTTATATTTCAGACTTACTCAATTTGAACCATGGAGAGATAAACAATCCAACAACGTGTTAAAGTTATACAGACTTATTATGCAAATGGGCGTTCACATCAAAATGCATATCGTGCACTTAGTGTTTTTTTGTTTTTGTCAATTTGATCGTCCAAATGTGCGTAAAATCGAAAAAATCGTGGAAAAATTCGAGCGAACCGGGTCTGTATAAGATGTGAGAACACCAGTTCATGCTCGTAGAGCTCGGTTTATGGGCTGGCGGCATCATCATCATCATCACCACAATCATCATTGTAGTTTTTCAAAATGAGGCCGGTCAGGCAGTGACTGTGAATGGTGTTCGCTATCGTGTGATGATAACGAACTTTTTATGGCCCGAATTGGAAGATATGCACGTGGACGATATGTGGCTTCAGCAGGACGGTGTCACTTGCCATACAGCTAACGAAACAATGGCTCTCTTGCGCAACAAATTCAATGGCCGTGTTATCTAACGTAATGACGACGACAATTGGCCGCCAAGATGATGTGATTTGACACCGTTAGACTTTTTTCTTTAGGGTTATTTAAAACAAAAGGTGTACATCGGTAAGCCATCAACAATTCAAGAGCTAAACGATGAGATAATTTGGCCCATTAACGGCATAGAACCTCGTTTATGCCCCAGGGACATTAAAAATTTGGACCATCGGATTGAGGTGTGCCGCCGTGGTCGCGGCGCCCATTTGGCCGATATTTTGTTCCATACATAATTGAATAATACCAATATATCATAATAAAAAAAAATTACAATAATTTCCTAAATAGTTTTTTTTTTTATTCAAAATCAACATCGGCCCTTGAAATTTAACCACCTTTTATTAATTCAAAATTTGTACTTGTGGATGTCCCAACAAACAAACTAATATGCCACTGTGTTTTAGCTAACCCATGCTTTAGATGTTTTTTTATGAAATATTTAAAATATTTTAGAAAAATAGCCAACACGAAATAAATTAAAATTAAACCAAACCGAAATAGCAGAAACAGAAGGAGAAAATTCTAAGATTAACTTGAAGTCCTCTAAAACCTTTCGAAAAGAGCTCACCTGACCACACAAATAGAAGATATAAAAGCACTTAATTTTCAGTTTCATCATGTGTCAGGTCATAGCTCCTTACTTTTATAATAATAACACAGTGCGACAGTGATTTGGAACTTTTGAAGAGACCTAATAGGAATTGTTCATTAGGTCGAGTATAGTATAAAACCGTGTTTGAAATTTTTCTAACACCCTCAAAATCTTGATTTATTTAGAAATGGCGATTTTTCGGGACTTTCTTGTTCCGAAAAATTCCTAAGCGCGTAATTTTAAAATGATTTTAAAATTTTTTACGTTTTTTAATAATTAAATGTTGTAGCTTTTGAAAAAAAAGTAGATCTTTAATATATTTCAACAAAAAGGATAACATTTTTACGCAAGAAACTGACATTTTTGCATTTTTGTCGTGTTTTTCGGACTTTGATGCCATTTTTTCGGTACAAATTCCAAGAAATGGTATCATTTTTGACACATATCAATATTGTCTCGTTAATTCTAAATAAAACAAGACCAAACTCATTAGGAAATTATGAAAATTGGTGAAGTTATAACGATTTTCCCAAAACAAGTGCTTGCTTTATTGTTTTTCACTAATTAATAATAAAGTACTGATGGTTAAGTATTAAACACTCAAAAATTTATCATTCGTCATCATTCTCAATGCTTTTTAAATGGGTACCATTTGGGTACTATTTGTTAAAATGTCAATTTGAAATTAAAAAAAAATTTTGATATTAATACTGATGGATCTGTTAAAGATGATTTAACTGGAAGTTCTTTTTGTCATTTTTTTTTTAGCAACCTCAGTTCTTTGGTCATTGAGGGTTTTTAATGACGTAAATCCGCCCCAAAAAAAGGCAGAATTTAAGAATTGTACTTTAAGCCTAGTACTCTGGCGTTGCCGGATCAAAAAAAATAAATAGCTGATCTCGGGGTGTAAAAAGAATTAATTTGATTTATTTTGACAGCCAAAACATGGAGCGAAAATTGAGAGAAAAACATTGTGGGACCGACAAATTTTCGGCCCGCGAAGATAAAGTCAATCTAATTAGTGCGGTCAGGGCGAAGCCCATAATATGGGATTTGACCCACATTTTAATGCCATAAAATGGCATTAGAGAGGATTGCCGAGCTGGAGAAGGAGTTGCAACGCGCTCGCAGCAGTAACATGGAGCGCACTGACCCCGTTATGTCGAGTGAGGTTGGGGTAGGTCAGCAACCGCCATTTGCAATAGGCCTGACTGTACCTAACCCAATAAGTGCCTTTCATGTGGCGTCAGGGAGACTGCCATCTTGGAGCGGATCTCAAACGGTACTGTGTACAGTTTCGCAGAACTGTGCCACAAGGACTACTCACGCATCGCCATTTTGCGCTACCGGCACTACGGTTCCAGGGCATGGTTTCGGGCTACACAACGAAGCGGCCGGCGGAACATCGGTACGAGCGCCTTCTCCTGGATACGGTGCTTGGGCGACGAGTATTGAAGGAAATGCAAGCTGGGCCCCACGAAAGCTTCCTGAGCTGCCTACGTTTGGAGGGAAGCCAGAGGATTGGCCCATTTTCTATTGCGCGTTTATGGAAACGACGCAAGCATATGGTTGTACGGACATGGAAAACAACTAAAGGCTACTGAAGGCGTTAAAGGATAACGCGCGTGAGACGGTAAAGTCACTGTTGATTCACCCCAGCAATGCGAATGCAGCGATGGAGCAGCTGCGTTTCAGATGTGGCCGACCGGAGCAACTAATACGCAGCCAGCTCAACAGCCTTCGAGATGTGCCCCCAATTACGGAACACAATCTAGGAAAGCTCGTCGCATACGCCACACATGTGAGTAACCACAAGGCCTTCTTGCAGTCAGCGAAGGCAGAGCAGCACCTGGGTAACCCTACCCTGATGGAAGACCTTGTGGCCAAGCTCCCGATAAGCAAACGAGTGGAGTGGGCAAGGCACGCTGCAACTATTCAGCCCTTTCCGACTATTGTGGACTTTAGTTCGTGGTTGAGGGAACTAGCGAATGTGGTCTGCATGGTGGCGGACATTGATGGAAAGGAGCCGAGGCGTCGATTGCTTCATGCCAGCATCGACCATGAGCAGGACGAGTAACAGGAGAGCTGCCTCAGGAATTGTCCAATATGCGAAGGTCTTGGACAACATGAAGTTTGGGACTGCCAACGGTTTATTGGAGCCACGACTACAGACAGGTGGAGGCTCGCAAGAAGACATCGCTTGTGCTTTATGTGCTTGAAAAGCGGGCATATGACTGGATCGTGCGCTGCGTCAGGAGAGTGCCCCATGAATGGATGCAGGAGGAAGTATCACCGTCTTCTTCATGAGGCAAACAATGAAGGCTTCAGGAGACCGCCACAGCGAGGCGGCCATTGGAGAAGCTACAACCTGGACCGACAGGCAGTCGTACCGAGGGATGGCGCCCGGTTCAACGAAGGAGCAGCGTCATCCGTGGATGCTCCTGCGACGCCGGAAAGGAATTTGAGCTGTGTCGACGAGGACCGAGAACGACTACTGTTCCGTATATTGCCGGTGGAGCAGGCAACTCTTCCCGACATGTGCTGAGCAACGTGTATGCCGTTCCGAAATTGAGTTTGCCGATGCAGAGCCTGTACAGAAGAGATGTCAGGAGCGTGAACAAGGACGCTCGATTACCGATGAAGCCCTACGAAAATGCAGTGCCGAAGCTACTTATTGGATTGGATCATGGGCATTTAGGATTGGCATTGAGAACGAGACACTTCGCCAGAGAGGGACCGTCCGCCGCCGCAACCGCATTAGGATGGGTCGTTTTTGGGCCTGTAGAAGGACGACGAGACACGCCATCACCGAAGCCTTGTCTGCTAGCCACGTCGTTGGATGATAATGTGGAACGGATCGTCAAGGACTACTTTGAGATCGAGAACTTCGGTGTGAAGGCGGCGCCAGCGGCCGCAGCTAGCGACGACGTGAGGTCTCAGAAGATTTTGGAGGACACTACGGTGCGAGTTGGCTGCCGATACCAGACGGGATTACTATGGAAAACAGATAACATCGTGCTGCCACGTAGTTATGATATGGCGTACAATAGGTTGGTCAATATCGAGAATAAAATAAAGCGAGATGGACAGTTTGCCCAAGAGTACTCACGAATTATCAATGATTACGTCGTCAAGGGATACGCTCGGCGTCTGGAGCGACAGGAGATCGCTATGGGCGGCGATAGGATATGGTACTTGCTACATTTTGGAGTGGGGAATCCCAACAAGCCAGGGAAGATTCGATTGGTATTCGATGAAGCGGCACGAGTTGGAGAAGTATCGCTCAATTCTGCGCTGAGCAAGGGGCCGCAACACTATAAGGCCTTGGCATCTATCCTCTTCCATTTTAGAGAAGGTGCTGTCGGAGTCTGCAGTGACCTTAAGGAAAGGTTTAACCAGGTGCTGATCCGACCCGAAGATAGATGTGCGCAACGATTTCTGTGGAGAGATGGGGATAACCAACGAGACCCCGATGTTTATGAAATCTGCGTGATGACCTTTGGAGCTGCATGCTCACCGAGTGCGGCGCATCATGTGAAGGCAGCAAATTCCAAGCGATTCCAGGATTCGGATCCCAGAGCAGTCAAGGCCATCGTGGACTACCACTACGTGGACAGCTTCGCCACAGAGAGGGAAGCTATCGAAGTATCTACTAGAGTAAAAGAGATACATGCAGAAGGCGGTTTTGAGCTTTGCAAGTTTGCAAGTCTAGTTCGCCTACAGTAGAGAGGATGCTCGGACCCAGTGACCACGCCCAGAGTATTGGATGGGGTGAAGCCGAGCAAAAGATTTTGGGAATGCGGTGGCAGCCAGCCACGGACGACTTCAAGTTTCGAGTGAAGTACCACAAAGTTGCCCCCATCGTATCCGATGGGAAGAGAATTGCCACAAAAAGGGAATTCTTGAGTATGGTCATGTCACCGTTTGACCCCTTGGGATTTCTGTGTTGCTTAATGGTAACAGCGAAGCTGTTGTTGCGAGAAGTCTGGAGAAAGAGGATCTTGTGGGACGAGCCACTACCGGATGAGATGTACAACGCCTTTATGGATTGGCGTAAGGAAATGAATAAAGTGGAAAACTTTCGGAGCCCACGTCACTATTTTGGATCTGGACTGGTGAAGACGATCGAGATGCACGTTTTTGTGGATGCGAGCCAGTCGGCATTCGCGGCAGTGGTCTACTGGAGAATCACGTATGAAGACGGCGACGTGCAAGTGAGGTTCGTGTGCGCAAAGACAAAGTGTGCACCTACGCGAACGATGACGATTCCACGGTTGGAGCTGCAGGCAGAAGTTCTAGGAACGAGATTGATGCACACAGTCAGGCAGGACCATAGTGACAGTGCTGCGTTGGATTGGCAGCACCCACAGGCGCTACAAACAGTTCGTGGGGAACAGAGTAGCCGAGATTCTGGAGTCAACGAAGGTGGCCCAATGGAGATGGCTACCGTCCGCCGACAACGTGGCGGATGATGCGACAGAAGATGAAGAGGAAATGCCGAGTGAGTTTGTGCTCGTTGGCACGAGGGACACGTTTATATCCTTGCAGAGATTCTCAAGCTACAGGCGATTGTTGAGGACTACGGCCTGGGTCCTAAGGTTCACACGTCGATGCCGTGGACAACAAGACGAGCTTGAGAACTGCGGCCTCACTGCAGTTGAGTGTGAAGCAGCTGAGAACTTGTTAGTCCGTATAGCACAACGTGAGGCGTTCCCCGACGAGATGCAGGCCGCAGAGAATGGCCTGGATGCCGCTAAAGGAAGCGAAATATGTGGACTGGCGCCATACCTAGATGGCAATGGAGTCCTGCGAGCGTATGGCAGGATTGATGCGGCGCTATGTTTGCCGTACAGTACGTCTCCCACCGACACGGTCTCACGGAGATGATTGTGCGCGATGCCCATGTGAGGATGAAGCATCAAAACGTGCTTCGCAGTTTGATCTCGGGATGCAGCGAGTGTAAGCTGGATTATGGGACCTCTGCCAGAGAATCGTTTGGAGGCGTATGGTTGGCCGTTTAAGAGCACGGGCCTCGACTACTTTGGACCACTGCTAGTGACCGTTGCTTGGCACCAAGAGAAACGATGGGTGGCCTTGTTTACATGCCTGACGACCAGGGCGATCCACTAGCACATGACCTGTCCACGGACTCCTGCGTAATTGCAATCAGGAATTTCATCTGCCGTCGAGGGCCTGTACATAGACTGCGCAGCGACAACGGCAAGAACTTCGTTGGAGCCGACAGGGAGGGGGTGAAGGGGTTCTTCACGGAGGTGGGGATGTCGCGGATCGATTATCGATAGTTTAGTATTAAGTCTTATTATTGAAATTTGGTATTGTGCCCTCATGAAGAGATTGGGGACACTAGGTAGATAATTGGTGAATTAGGTGGTGAATTTTTCGTTGAAAGCCATGGAGTGTGGGTGGTTATACTGCGGTAAGGTTTATTATTATTAGTAGCATCTTTCCTATAACTTGTACTTCCCCTAGAATAAAATATATATATTGGATATACATTGGCTTGTGTACTGAGGCGGGTTGCCCCATCGCCGCCGTATGTTTAAGGCAACTCCAACCCGAGCGACAACAACTACATATGGGCATTTCCACAAAAAGGTCTACTGTGGCCAAAAAATTAAAAGTTCTTGAAAATGATTTTTTTCAACATGTTTGCATAAAGAAATGTTCAAGTTTATTAAATTTGAAAGAATTTTGCATTTATCTTTTACAGATTTTAAAATATTCGAATGCAAAAGTCGCACAAACGCACCTTTTGTCATTATGATGTTTGTAGGGCGTATTTTGTTTTGATTATAACTTCTAAAATATATGCATTATGGTTTGTTTTTTACTTTCTTAAATCACTTCGAGTTTCCAAGAATCGAAAGAGAACGCAAGATACTTCTTGAAAGATACGTTACTACGTGCGATCACCAATAAAGGTAAAAATTTAGGTTTGCATTATCGCTTAAGCATAGTACTGTGACGACGAAAATCCGCTGTCGCACGAGTGACAGCTGTCAAACTCCAAAAATATAATACAAAATTTAAAACAAGTCCCAAACTTCTATCTTTAAAAATACCAAAGTTGGTATTTCTACCAAAAACAATTTCCGATCGTTCAGTCATATGTCAGCTATAAGATATGGTCGCCGATCATTATGAAATTCGGTAGGTCGGATTATCTGACCAAAAATAGAATCTGTATTAAGGATGTAGGCTCATGTTCCGGCCTACTTTTTAGAGGTTATTTCAAGAAATTTTTTTTGTAATAAAAAATAATGCGATCGTTTCAATTTTCACATATGTTTTTATAGGCATTATTTGAAAATATTTGAAAATATTTTGTTTAATTTATTCTTGTGTAGTTTAATACACTTTATAGCATGCCAAAGTATGCATATAAAAAAAAGGTAGGTCCCTGGCGCAGGTGATTTCGACTGCTAGAGTCATCCGAAACAAAAAATTAGAATAGATTATTGTTTTGTAAGCTTATGGCTCTGTCCCGTACTAGAATGAAATATTTTCATCAATAAACAAAAAAATGGCGAACACACAAAAAAAAATTTGTTTTAATTTAAAAAATTTGTCTTAAATTAATGATAAAAAAAAAACTAATCATTAAAAATAAATGATTCTAGTACGGGACAGAGGTGTTACTTTTTAGAACAACATATCCAAATTTCAGCTAGATCGGTACCATAGAATTATGTGAATCACCTGCGCCGCACACAAAAATGTCGTTCCGAGAAAAACGCGTTTAAAGTTTAGACGCTACCGAGAAACTCATACTTTTCGGTGTAGGCGCGCTCTCGATTATGGGCTGTATCTCTGTCATTATTTGATATTTTTATTTGAAACTTTAACAGTACATTCTTAATAAACAATACTATCGAAATATGTGAAAAAAAAAAAAATCGATTTTTTCAACCTTACACATGAGACTACATCCTTAAGTTCCAGATTTCTATCTTCAAAAACACGAAGGTTGGGTCATTTCCGATCGTTCAGTTATATGGCAGCTATAGGATATAGTCGGCCGATCCTTATGAAATTCGACATGTATTATTTTGCCAAAAATAGCTCTCACCTTAAATTTGACCTAAACTATCTAACTTTAAAAACACCAAAGTTATACCATTTCCGATCAATCAGTTATATGGCAGCTATAGGATATAGTAGGCCGATCCGGGCCGTTCCGACTTATATACTGCGTGCAAAGGAAAGAAGGGTGTGTGCAAAGTTTCAAGACGATAGCTTTAAAACTGAGAGACTAGTTTGCGTAGAAACAGACAGACGGACAGACGGACATGCTCATATCAACACAGGAGGTGATCCTGATCAAGAATATATATACTTTATAGGGTCGGAGATGTCTCCTTCATTGCGTTGCACACTTTTGACCAAAATTATAATACCCTCTGCAAGGGTATAAAATCGGTGTAAAAAAAGGAAGAAGAAGAAATTTTTGTCTCCTAGATTTTTCCGGTACTCTGACGACGAAAAGTTTAGCTATCGAATCCGGCGTTGCCGGATCAAAAAAAATAAACAGCTGATTTTGGGGTGTTGAAAGAATTAATTTAATTTATTTCGATAGCTAAAACATGGAGCGAAAATTTGAAAGAAAATTGTCGGACCGAAAAATTTTCGGCTCGCGAGGATAAAGTCAAGCTAATTAGTGCGGTCAAGGCGAAGCCCATAATATGGGATTTGACCCACAATGGGCATTTTAATTCCATAAAATGGCATTGAAATGATTTGTGATTGATTTTGATTTTGACCAAGTTTTCTTTTTCTTAATCAGCTCCTTAGCGGCGAAAAACATAAAACACCAAAATCCAATCGGTTTGAATTCATTTTTGCTTATTTGTGTTTTGTTTACAAACAACAGCTGTTCAGTAGTACCCTTTTCCTTAATATTTTTGGTCACACTAGCTCGGTAGCTGAATAAAGTGCGATTTCACAAGCGGATTTTCGACACAGATTTTCGTCGTCACAGTACTAGGCTTTATTTTAATGTCCCGTGCGCGACCGAGAAACGACATTTCCTATTACTAGATCCAAAGCACTTGAATTGCATCAAAATTTTTGCAAACAGAGTTTATGTGAGCAGTAAAAATATAAAAAAAATTTTGATAAAAACGAATATTAGTAATATTTGTGATTATTTGAAGTTTTTGTCCCGTGCGCGACCGTAAGTACATAACAAAATGATACAAATAAATTTTTTATATTTTTTTTAGCAATATAACATTTTAAATTATTTAAATGTAGATGAGCATAAAAAGTTGTCAAAAAAGAAGAATTTGCAAACGGTGGAGAGATAAGTTGAAGGAAGACCCAATAAAATGGGAAAACTATAAATTAAAAAAGGAGGAAAGAATGCGGTACACTAGGCTAAACTACAAAGCGGAAGTAAAAAATGTGGTCGAAAAGAGGAGGCAGCTTGAGCGCACACGTAAGCGCCAATATCGACAAAAGCTTGCAGAAAAGAGAGATGCAGAAAAACTAGATGCTACAAAAAAGAAAAGTGATCCCTACAAATGCAAGCAAACCTTAGTTGAAAATGCTCTGCCAAGAGACTTAGAAAAGAAAGAAAAGTACTTGAAATTTAGTTTAAAGAAATTCCCCAAAAAAATATTGCAAAAACTAAATTTTAGATGACCCTACCAGAGAGTTTAGATGATAAAATTCAGGAGTTTTATATTAACTACAATATTAGTGTTCAGGCCTCAGAAAAAGGGACACCATTTTGATAGCAGGCTATGTACAGTGGGGAGCAAAAGTCGTCAAAAAATAGCCAATGGACCAAAATTTTCAATTGATGCAGTGGCCGGCTCAAAGCCCTGACCTGAACCAATTGAAAATTTGTGGTCAATAGTAAAAAGATGATTGGCACAATATAGTTCAGCTCCATCCATCCCTATTTATGGGAAAGGGTGCTTAAGGAAAATTTTGGAAAACCTTGAGGAAAGTATGCCAGACCGTATAGAAAGCGTCGTAAAAAATAAAGGTTTATGGACGAAATATTAATATTTTACTAAAAATTCCATTTGAAGATCTTGTTTGCAAATAAGAAGTTTAAAATGTCAAAGGAGCATAAATGCATGATACAATTATACAAGGTAGTCCATTCGTAGAATAAATTATTTTAATTTAAACATAGTAACCGTTGAATAGTGTGACTGAAACGGCTATACAGTACCTCGATTAACCCGCCCATGGGTCATGGGGCTAAAAGTTTTTCTTAGTTGACAAGAGTTGTAGTGTTTATAATTTTATTTTAATTAGTTTTTAATTTGACATTATTCTTTGTTTTTATTTTAGGACAGCCATTTTCTTGTTTAAGATCTTAATTCTAATGTATATACGTATGTTTACACTAATATCAACCTGCTCAGCGGCGTTTAACAATGTTTGTTTTAAATTTGTAGTTTAAAAAAACTAAAAAAAAAAGAACAAACTTTACGCCTAGCCCGGGCTTGCGACAAGAACTGCAAAAAGTCTTTTTTTTGCTTGGCCACTTAAAGGTTAAAGTTTTGAAAAAAAAATCACCATTCAGTTTGACAAGTAGGCACGCACTGAAATTAAGGGACCAAAGCCCGAACGATTTGTCAGCCGAATGGACTACCTTGTATAATTGTATCATGCATAAATGAGTACAAACGAGTTGTTATACCCTTGCAGAGGGTATTATAATTGTGTCCAAAAGTGTGCAACGCAGTAAAAGAGACATTTCCGACCCTACAAAGTATATATATTCATGATCAGGATCACCTCCTGAGTTGATTGAGCATGTCCGTTTGTCCGTCTGTCTGTCTATCTGTCTATTTCTACGCGAACTAGTCTCTCAGTTTTAAAGCTATCGTCTTAAAACTTTGCACACA